AGAAGAAGCATAATGTTTGTGAGACTTTTAGTTTCATATGCAATACATTATATGACTATCACAGCTACTGTATATGATCATGTTGAACATCCTAATTGAAATGAGCAATAATATGGGATTTTCCCCTAGTACGCAAAGCCAAGTCCACAAAGACATGGATTGGTGAGTTTGGTGTGGAGGACGTGAGTGGTCAACACACAGGACCCTGACCACAATTCTACTGAAAACCTTCAGTAAGAATTTGAATGCAGATTGTGATCTAGGTCTTCCTGTCCAGCATCACTACCTGACCTCACAGTCAATCTTTTGGCTGAATAGGCTCACATTTCCAAATACATACTTCAAAATTTTGTGGAAAACCTTCCCAGAAGAGTGGGGGCTAAGGAAGAAGGGTGTTGGAATGGAATGTTCAGCTAGCTCATATACTGTAGGTGTGATGTTCAGACTACTGATATTACCGCACTAAAACAACTTTTGCCCACCCCATCCTCCATTCCTGTTGAGCTTTGGCACATCTGTTCCACCTCTAGACCTAACCCCCAGGCAAATTGCTTCAAGTGCAACATCTATTTAAACAAGTGAACCTAAAGAAACACATCACGCACAACTGCTTTTACTTTCCTGTCACTTAAATCAAAAGTTACTAAAGATATATATGTAGTGCCCTCTACATAAGCTAGATATGATTTTTGTTAGAGGCTAGGTTGCAGCCTGGGATGAGTCAGCTTGGGGGTAATGTAGTGAGTTCACCCCAGAACCAGCTGGGAGGCTCTACAGATCAGGGCTTCTGGAGCCCTCCCACCCTTCCACAAAGCTAGAGAACTGTCTGGAATAGGGGAGGAAAAGAGAAGGAGGCCCAGGTCTGCATGTTTGAGGGGCCATGGTCAATCCCCATGCAGGAGGCCAGGCATGGTGACCAAATTTGGCACAGCCTGAGCAGCAAGGGAGTCGGGTGGAAGATGGACTGAGAGTGTGGAGCCTGGGAGGGGGCTCCAAGGAGGGGAGCATGCCTACAGTCAGGATACTGGAAAGGTGGACCTCCACTGTGCTAAGACTCTTAGGGAGGACATTCTGTGCATCAGGGAAGAATCCAGCCCAGCGAAAGACCTGAAAGCTACTGACCCACCACACTGACAGGACAGGACAGTATGAGTACTCCTACACCCCCTGGTCCAGATAAAAGGGAGAGGGCGTTCAGTTGAAAGACTCAACTAGTTCTCATCCAGGATTACGTAACTGGCAAATATTGGAATCCCTTGACCAGGTATATCCTCATTGCAGCTGGGTGAAGAGGAGGATTCATTTGGGTCTGAGGAGGTATACTAAGGCGACTTCAGTGTTCCTTAACAGAGACAGTTGCTATTTTTGGATCCACATATTTATACAGAATTGTTGCTAAAAAATTTGTCCTCACGTTTGCAGTTCCTTGGCTACCAAATATACCCCCATCCAAGTTGTTAACCCCTTAATAAAAACATCTGAAGGACTGTTTACTGTCTATACTATACTTCTTATAGCCTAGGCCATCTTTATGTAGAGCAACAATTCTTTTTTTCAGATCCTCAGAGAGTTATTTGCCATGAGGTGCCATGTTTAACTTCCAGTGACCAGTATGAGAGAGTGAGAGCGATAACACCAAAAAAAACCACACCTGCTTCCCATTCGCACCTGAGACCTTGTAACACTAACATATCACAAGACACCGGGGAGGGAAAATAGCTAACTGGGCCCAATTTGTAAATTTTCATTTAGGGGTGTACTCACTTTTGCACATTAATGGCTGTGTGTTGAGTTATTTTGAGGGGACAGCAAATTTACACTGTTATACAAGCTGTACACTCACTACGTCACATTGTAGCAAAGTGTTATTTCTTCAGTGTTGTCACATGAAAAGATATAATAAAATATTTACAAAAATGTGAGGGGTGGACTCACATCTGTGAGATACTGTATATCTTCACATTTCTCCAAAATGGCCAAAATGGGAAAATAATATATTTTTATCTGATTAACCTCATTTTCTGAGGCTCCCAAGAGGACTCCCAAAACATCTTTTTTGACGCCATTTTTGGCATTGCTCACTGTTGCAAAATGTCTAGAACTCAGCTTTCCATGCTTTTTTACTAAAGTGTAAACATCTTTTGGGCTGTTGATGAGGGGGTAGCACTGGCCCTCCTGTATGGGGCCTGGGTCTCATCAGTACAACAGGGGGGCCCAGGCAGCTTTATAGTGCAGGCAGTTCCCTTGCTCTGTAGCACAACTGGCTTCTCCTCTCTCAGCTGCTGAAGGGGGAACCACAAGGAGCTGGTTTCAGGAATTGCACCCCCCCACACACACACACACACCACCACCCTCATGCTTCTCCAATTATCCTTTCTCCTGTACAGGATCCCCTTCATCTGCAGCTTTGATCCCCCTATGTCCCAAATCACCCCCCCCCCCCCCCCCATTTTTACTATGCTTCAGTTTGTGAATGAACAGGGAGCCTCTGTATGGAATGCTTCCTGTTCATTCATTCTGTAGCAGCTGAGGGTGCAGAGAAAAGATTGGAGATTTGCGTCCTTAATTACTTTCTCTGTGAGTTCTCTCATTTCACCAAAGTCCCCCCCCCCCATAAAAAAATGAATAAAAAGTAATTAATAAAACATATTTACGGGGTCACTCACATGGTACTCTGGCCAGGTGAATGAGTGGTTTGTTCATGCATCTGGAGCCATGTTCATGACCATATACCTGCATTTACACACCCACACAGGCTGGGGGGAGGCCCTGTCATATAGGCAGTATGGGGCCCCGTGATTTCTAACAGCAGAACTATGCACATAGATACAGGTATATAATTGGGTTTAGGTGATAAACACATGAACAACTTTAATAAAGAAGTAAGGGTCTCTCTAGGAAGGTATGTGGTACAATAGATGTGGATGTGGTCTATAGTTAGGCAAGTGTTGTGCCTAAATTGGCCTTGTTTGCATTCAGTGTGTTAGGGTAGGAAGTAAATTAGGGAGGAATAAATTAGTAGCCCAAACCATTTGTGTACAGTGAGTCTAGTTAAGGTTTTTGGTATGCATGAATAATTCCCTTGGCCTGAATGTCCAGTGTAGTGTGGTGGGCCTGTGCCCTTGCAGATGCTTGAGGGACCTGGGACATATTCAGAATTTTTGGGTCTTTGGTGTTTGGGTGGGGAAAGGGACAGTTGTAAATATGAGAAAAGAGAGGGGAAATCAGTGACACTTATATTTTTTTATTGCTAATCATGTAGTAATCTCCAGAAACTGGATATTATTTACAGTTCCATGTATACATATGTAGGGTTACCCCTGGAGAAGCCGCTTGTATTTTTGTCCATGTCTCCCCTTGCTTTCCCCGCAGCCAGGCACAAAGTATTATCTACAGCCAGGTACAAACAGTTTTTCGCTCATTGTCTTTAATGACCAGTCTAGGGGATGCTTGTTTTTGGAGTTTTATTGTAGATTGGGGATAGGGATGGGGAATTTATTAGGATACTCCAAAATTAAAACTATTCACACTGAGGACATCTATCTGGTCTCTTAGTTGAAAGCAGATAGCAGACTTCTCTTTAAATTATAGTAACAAGTAGTTTAAGAGTGAGCAAAGTCCCTTTAGCGGTAGTAGTAAGTGCAAGGCTGAGCTCCTCAGGTACAGGCCTGTTACGGCAGACTGTGGCAATCCACAAGTAATAGAACCGAGCAAAGTCCTTTGCAGTAGCAACAGTTGGACAAGCTCTGCAGGATACTAGCAAGTGTTCCCTTTTTTTCAGAACCACACTGACTATCAAGCACCAGAGGGGTAGCAAAGCACACAGAGTCCCCAAGATCTCTCAGTGTCTGTATTCTTTACAGATCTTTTGTCAGACAGCTCCCCTCAGTCAGCTTACTGTAGAACCAGGGTCACTCTTCCTAACTTCAGACCCTCAGATCGCCCACCCAAGGCCTGCATGGCAGCAAGTGCCAGGTGAGGCAAGGCTGCCTCCAGCCTGGTTTGGTGCAATCCTTTCCAGGGAAAGACCCTGAAACCATGTGCTCACAGAACATAAATACCACTCCCAGCATCCAATGGGGCTGCCCTCCCCTGCAATTGATCAAGGCTGTATGCATACCCCTACCTAAGTTCTGGAGGCTCTCATAGCTTCCTGAAGGCAGGTGGGGCTCGAGACAAACTTAAACAGCATCAGAGCTTCATGGGCAAACCTGACTAATCGATTACAGCACTCTGTGTGAAGCAGAAAACCAAACTGAATTTACCTGTTAAGCAGAGAAACACAGCTATATTCATACAAAACACAGCTATATTCATACTAACTATACAGATCCTAGTACCTATCTAGGACTGTGCTACACATAAAACACTACACATTCTAAACTCTGATTCTACACTTCACTCTATATCAAATCCCCAAAAAATGTCAACATTCCTTCAAGATTGGACATCATTATTATATCTCTCCAAATGCATGCTGAAAATCTGATACAGCCAGATGGTATTATTTTTTTTACTAACTGATTAACTAACCAACTATGTGCACTTACCTGGACAGGATCCACCATCTGCTATGTACACTTAAAGAGGTTGACTTATTAAAGGCAAATACACTGTACATTTTGCAAGGGAACATTCTACCGATCTTAGTGAATAAGGTGAAGATCTGCTGACTTCCATCGTCCAATCATGTGCAAGCAAAATATGTTTTTTTTTTAATTTGCAGGTGATTGGGTATTATTTTCAAAGTGAGATTTCACTATGTGCACTAAGCTCTGTAGGAAAAACTCCCTTGCAGACTGCAACTTCCCTTACAAAGTGAACAGCCTATTTGCCTTTAGTAAATCAACCCCAAAATGTATGCACACCTACATTTTTAAAATAGCATCTTATCTTCTACTCATTACGATGGCGTCATTCTTTCTCCCCCTCATTTTCAATTTTCATCTACAGTTTCTTGACTTCCACTACTTCCTTTCCCTTAATGGGTCCTTAAGCAGGAGCATTGTCATCCTAGGATGAACACCAGCATGTACAGCTTGGGGTTCACAGGGAGCCAGGGGCAGACTGACCATTTGGAAACTCGGGCACTGCCCGAGGGCCCGGGGTCAGTAGGGGGCCCCATGAAATGCCCCTGGTACCTTTTTCGTAGGCTTTTTTGAGTTTGGGCAAGGACACAGGGGCCCCATGATCCCCTATTGCCTGGGGGCCCCATGAGTTGTCAGTCCGCCCCTGCAGGGAGAACAAGGTTTTATAGGCTATCCATATCATCAGAGGGAGACATGCACCTGCGGGTGTGGTTCGGGTGGAGTGGCTGGGAGAAGTGGAGTAAATGGGCATGACTTGTGGACTTCTAAAGACAAGAAGGTAAGTACTGGGGGAAACAAATTCCACACACTTACTAGGGACTTTGCTTTGACAGGGAATGTTTGTGGGGGTTTAATTATACTTTAACTTCATTAGTACATTTGAATTTGAATATAATTAGGGTTTCTCTTTTTCTATCACTGTGCTTACACCTGCTAGAGAAACAATTTACAAAAGAACACAGACTACGCCAACATAATAATAACAACACTCTAAAATTAGAGCAAATACACCACGGCAGAAAACAAACATAATAATTAAACATCTCGATAAGAAAAGAAACAAAATGTTACTAGTACTAACTTAGAACCTGTCATATTAAAAATAGAAACATTTCAAATTTATTGTTCTGTGTTTCGTGTCTTTTGCTTGTACCTGAAAAAGCAATTATTCTTAATCTTGAGCTTACATGTACAAGTGATGCAAGAGAAGAGTTCATTTATCTTTGTAGCAATTTACCTGCAAATAGTCACAACTCACTTTCCAAAATTAATTCTTTTGTACCCTCCAGGTGTGTTTGCACAGGATTAATTGCTGGTACTTCATGAATTAGTATAGAGATGGAAAGAATGATATACCTAATGACAGCCAATCCCAAGTACATCCTTCTTAAAGGGAAGGTCTGATCAACTGATATTGTGGCTTTTAAACAGGGACATAGCTGTTCTTTTTGTGCTTGATAACATTAACATACAAACTTTGCATAATACTAACTTTGTCTTGCTATACTATATTTCATATATTACTCGTAACTGGATATATATCAGGGACAACAGTCCCTGCCTTTAGAACAGTCTGAATTTGCAGCATATATCCAACCAGATGCTCAAGAAACTCTCCTTACAAATTTTTATCAATGCTAAATCCTTAGCATACCCTACAATTAATAGCCAAAGGACAACTGACCATTATAACTATGTGAGCTTTGTTGAAGATCTCATTCCAACACCATACACATTAATATGATCCCCACCCCTTTTCCCAACTTTTTCTGGAAAGGTTTCCAAAAGATTTTGCAGTATATTTTTGGTAATTTGAGCCCATTTAGCCAAATAAGCATTTGGGAGGTCAGGTACTGATACTGGACAAAAGAACCTGGCAGGCAGGTGGCATTCCAGTTCATCTCAAAGGCGTTCAGTAGGGTTGAGGTCAGGGCTCTGTGCAGGCCACTTGAGTTCCTCCACACAAAACTCATCCAAGTTGTCCTTATAGAGCTGGCTTTGTGCACAAGGACAAAGTCCCATGGGTACAATAATGATAGCAAAGGAAAGTTATTTCCCCAGACTTTACCTCAAAGTTGTCTAAAATGTTTTTGTATGCTGTAGCATTGCCACCTCTTGATATTTGGAAGGGAGTCCACATACTTTAGGCCATATAGGTAGGTGTGATGGTCATGTACATAAGATTTTGGCCATATACTGTCTATACAAAACAGTATACATTTAAATAATCTGTAGGCAGGTGCAGTCTACTTTCTCCACTGCAGGTTCTTCTATGGTTTTCTGGGTCACTGGGGAAGCTATCCGATTGAATGCTGCTGCCATATGTGACTCTAGCAGCCATCTTGGGTCAGACAAGGCCTATTTAAGGCCCTGGCTCCCAGGGTTGGCACACATTTCACGTGTAGATAGTGTAGGAACAGGTCACCTGTCAGACAGGGACAGTGATTAGAGGCAGTGAGAGGTTCCAGTCGAGTAAGAAAAGGATAGGGACATGCCATCCTTCTGGAGACCTCTCTATTTGGGCTCAGAAAAGTAAGGCTGCATTGCGCCCTCTCAAGACAAACACTGTCTCAGTCCTGCTCACCAGAAGGCGGTGGGGAAACAGCCCAAAACCAGCATGAGTTGTCTGCACACCGCCCAAACAAAACAAAAACTACTGCTGGCACCCCTCCAAGAGGTAGTCTGGTCTCTTCCCATTGGGGCGCACAAGAAACTTCAAAGGGCAACAGTAATGGTGGAACCTCGCAAGGAAGCGGTGGTGCCAGGGGAGTGGCTAATGGCACACACCTTGACTAAAGTTCACAAAGAAAAGGTCCTAGTGTAGCTCATCAACCTGGAGACCACCCTGGTTTTATTTCTCAACCATTCCACCCTAGTAGAACTGTATGTGGTGCCCTGTCACTGCATCTCAGCGCATCAACTTGGAGTAGAGGCCATTTGTGCACTATGGCCTATCACTACAAGCAGCTATGTCCTTGTTGGATGAGACACAACACAAGTTGCTGCTGGAATAACATTCCCTTTTGAGACTAACGTCTACCCCAGCAGAGACTGCTTCATCGGCTACTTGAAAAGCATCTACTAGTTTCTGCTGCCAGCCCAGAGGACTACGGCTATACAGAAGCCATTGATCATCCAATATATACAGGAAATGCTTCAACCATATCGGAGCAATACATTCATATTCCCCCAGTGTTGTGCCAGGAGGTCAAGGACTTGCTTCACGATATGTTACAGAGCGGGGTGATTCGAGAGAGTCAAGGTCCATAGGCTGCTTCAGTGGTTCAGGTGTGAAAGAAATATGGAAGTCTGTGGTTTTGCGTAGACTACCACAAATGAAACGCCTGCACACATCAGGATGCTTACTCATTACCCCAGGTAGAGGAGTTACTTATTGGTGTTGGGGTAAGCCAAGTACTTTTCCATCCTTGACTTGGCAAGTGGCTACTGGCAAGTCCCAGTGAGGGATCAAGATCATGAAAAGACTGCCCTTGTCACACTCCTGGGACTGTTTGAATTTAACCGTATGCCCTTTGGCCTGAGCAATGCTCCCAGCACATTTCAACTCCTAATGGAGAGATGCCTGGGGAATTTCAACTTCTTGACTGTGCTAGTCTACTTGGATGATACCATTATCTTCTCCATGACCTTTGAGGATCACATCAAGCACCTGGACCGAGTGTTGGTGAAAATTACCAAGAATGAGCGAGCCAGTAAGCTGGAGCCCAAGTGGGAATGGACTCCCTATCAGGTTGAACAACAACCCTTCCCTCTGACTCCAGTACATGATGCAATCTCAGAAGGACCTAATCCAGGCAAGAGATGTCTCTATCACAATCTGCTAAGGCCTTGCATGCTAAGTGGTGACTGCTCCACCAAACCAGCAGGAGATAAGGATATTATTGATTCAGTGGTTGTCCCACCTCTGCAGAAAGTCCCTGTTGAATAGTACCTGTCTCTTGTCTTGCTCGAGGCTCCAGCCTCCTCTGATCTGGCAGCAGGTAGCCCCAGTACAGCAATTATGGACAGTCCAGCCACCACGGCAACTTCCACAACCTGTCTAAACGCCACCATGGATTTGGACTTGGGCCCTGGTGACGGGGGTGTTGAAGGCCCTGCAACTAGACTCTCCAGAGGACACTGTTGCTCATTGGTGAGAACAAAGGAAGTCTGATTGGCTGCATTCCAAAAAATCCACTTTATTGAACCAGAATATAACCAATACAGATAGTGGAAATACAGTGGGGGACTGGCAAGTAAATGTGTTTCACGCTAAAGACAGCGCTTATTCATTACCTGTTGCTCATCGGCCTTTGCGGTCTAACCGCAGTCAGCTTCCTGCTAGGTACTTCATATGTCGTTTTAACTTATACCTGTTATGCTTTAATTATGTTCATTGCTTTTTATTTGTTGCTCCGGACTGTGTTGCAATGACAAGGACAGCATCTGCCAAATAGGGGGGGAGTGTAGGCAAGTGCAGTCCACTTTCTGCATTGGAGTAGGAAGGCGGCCATTTTAATGAAGGGGACCTCTGGAACCAGTGGATTTAAATACTTCCCTAACGGCTTGATGACTGCACCATAGGAAAAAGTTCACCGGATTGTCCAGTATATCTTGAGGATTTATATTTATGCGCATTATCCATGCGCTTCCGGTGAGCGCGCATTTTTTACTATCGGTTGGAGTCACAAGTTCATCTGCTGCATTTTCTTCCGTTTTAAGACTTTTCATTCGTTTATGGTTTTTACATGCTTTTATGGCTATTATATGTGGACTTATTGGAATACTTGAAATTTAAAATTTTACAGCGCTACACCCTATATTTGTTTTTTTTTACTTTCTGCATTGCAGGTGGTGCTTAACCACAGCGGCAATGTAGGGGGAGGGAAAGTCAACAAGAACATGGTTTCTCTATGGTTTTCTGGGTCACTGAGGAAGATATTGGATTGAATGCTGTCAACCCATATTACTCTAGCAGCCATCTTGTGTCAGACAGAGCCTATTTAAGACCTTGGCTCCCAGGTTTGGCACGCATTTCACATGTAAGTAGTGTAGGGATAGGTCACCCTTCTGACAGAATCATTGCACTATAGTGCTCCAATAATATGAACAAAATATAGTGAATAAAGTGACGCACTGGAGGAACAGTGCAATGGTGGAAATAAATAGTGACTGTAGTGAAATGGATATACAAATAATCAATGGCGGTGAAAAGAGAAGCCAAACACCACATATAAAATGGAGTCACATCTATCAGAACACTGCAACAAAGAGTTTCATTTCCACTTAAAGGTGTCACTATAGCGCCGATCAGAGCGCTTCACTGTGATTTCATTTATTTTTGCTTATTTCACTCATAAGTCACTCCGTTGTATGTTCATCATTCATATTCACATAAGTTTTTGGGTACGTTTAGCATACTGATTCTTATGATTAGCGCTGCACCTTTTTTACACTTACTTTATTACTGAGGATACAAAGGGTGGTCCTTTAGTGCTAGCAGCTTATTCTCCTTTCTCCTATTGTGCTCACTGACATCTTTTTTACTTTTCGGGAGAGATTCCAGTTGAGTAGGGAAAGGATAGGGACACGCCATCGTTCTGGAGACCTCCCCATTTGGGCTTTGAC